CCTTCTTGCCTTAAGCCAGATTTTCTAAACATTTGAAACTCAACTCTCCCTTGTCCATTTACTGTACCTTTTGGATCTCTCCAATTTAGCACCAGCAATTTGTTCCAACCTGGATGCTCCAAGATCTCTGTGGGACTGTGCTTTGGTTTGGACTTCAGAAACTGGACATGTGGACTGACCCTGGACCAGATACTGACTGCTGCCAGGTAGGTCAGAAGTTCAGGACACCTTGACTACAACAGATATTTTCTCTATAACCCCACTCCCTTTGTATTTGAAACCAACCATTCCCCCTGTAAATTAAAGGTCCCATGACAACTCTGCAAAATAGTGTGAGCGATCCATTTTGATTTTGGAGGGACTCAGCTGTAACTTGTCCTGCCCGTGTGCAGCTGGTAGCTGGCAGTGAAAGAGAAACTGCAAAAGAACTGAAGTCACGAGAGCTTTAGTCAGCCTTGCCAGGGAGGAGAGGACCTTGCAAGGATTTTATTTCCCACAGTCTTAGTTACACAGTCGTTACTTTCTCCCTGAAGGCTTCTCCGCCTGAAGGGAACTGGGGGTGCAGGTGTCAACTGTTTCCAAGGCCCCCGTGAACAATCACATCTACTCTGTGTGAATTTGAACTGTACCAGCATGCTTATAGCATGTATGGGTGCATATTGCTGTTTTCAGGGCTGAAAACACAATGTGAGATGCTTGTCACATTTACTTAGAAGAGTTTAGATTTGATATCCTGCTTTATCACTACCCGAAGGAGTCTCAAAGCGGCTAACGTTCTCCTTTCCCTTCCTCCCCCACAACAAACACTCTGTGAGGTGAGTGGGGCTGAGAGACTTCAAAGAAGTGTGACTAGCGCAAGGTCGCCCAGCAGCTGCATGTGGAGGAGCGGAGACGCAAACCTGGTTCCCCAGATTACGAGTCTTCCGCTCTTGACCACTACACCACACTGGTGGTGTGGTGGATGTTTTTCTTGCACATTAAAACGTTTATGGCTGGAGCAGCCAACATGGTTGGACTCCAACTTCCATCATCCCTGATTATTTACCATGCCGGGTGGAGCTGATGGGAGCCGGAGTCCAACAACATATTGGAGGGCACCATGTTGACTACCCCTGATATATGGTCTTAAATTGGGGTGCGGGAAAACTGCAAAACTTGTTTATTACATCATGCAACCCGTCTCTACTTTGAGGGGGAAACTAACAGAAAGTGGAAGGGTACTGTGAATGAATCAGAGTAGGCAAAATGTCCATTTTGAAGATGAAAATGCCCTTCGTTTTCTCTTTGGTGTGAAATGTATTTCTTGTTTTCCATTATAACCCCTGCTCCGGAAAACTGCTGCTACTGAACAAGCTGCCCTGCACCTGCAATAACACAGGATGCAATAGGAAAAACCTTGCTCAGATCTGCAACATTGAAGAGGATCAGATATGCCTCTCTTGTTGTTAGTTTTCATTGCTAACAAGCTGGCACAAAGAAGCAGTGGGAACGTTTACTTTAAAAGTACATTCCATATTAGTTTGTAGTGGAACAAAAAAGGGGGGGAGGGGAAGCAGTACCATAACTTGGTTTAAAGGTGGGGAGGGGAATCCTGGTTCCAAGGAGTGTTTGCTGAATTCTGCTCACTGAACACAGTAAAGTTTTTTTCTTGGCTTAAAGGCTTGGTGGGTTAAATAGATGTTTGTTCACTTGCCCCCCCCCCACCCACAGCATAAGGTTGGCAATAGAATCCATGGAGTAGATCGTATTAACCAATCCTTGACAAAGGACTATTTCATCATTAGCACTAACACAGTATATTACTTATCTCCAAAATGCCTACTTCGATATTATATCTGGGCTGGATCTACACTGATTTTTTAAAGCACAAAAAAAGTAGTTATATAGCTCTCAAGGCAATTTTCCATTGACAGCTGTACAGCACCCCCTGGTGTGAAATTTTTATAACATTTTTATAACACATTCATAACGTTATAACTCACTAGTCCCTGGTGCAGTGATTGCTGGGACAGTTTTGAATTCTGAGAATTCTTACATTCACTTAGTCACAACTTTGACGTGAAAGGCAGTCTTAAACTCAGATTGCGGCATCATTTTACATTTAGCAATTGGGAAGGGCAATCTTTAGCCCAGTTGCTAGGTAACATGCTTCCATTTTATGTCCACTGTGAAGTCGTCTAAGGTGAACAGCAAGTGCTATTCCTTGCCCTTCCTACTTTGTTATGGGACTTGGTTGTTTGTGGAAGGCACACTTTCACCAAAATCCCACATCACCAGATTCACTCCCTGCTCTTGTGCATCCATAGTTCTAAAGATACGGGGGCAGAGTAATGTAGTTCCATGTCGTGAGTATTCACATTTGAGCTATGCTCCCTTCCTGGGGTTTAGACAACCCAGACGCACTGCTGTGATTCGTTAGTTGGGATCCTAACCTCAAGTATACCTGGGCGGCACAAAGTTGAGGGCAACTGTCACAAGCTCTGCATTGATCTGCGTGGCATTTGGTTTTGACAGCTCATTTTGTGGGCATAATTTTACCTAGCCCTGTGAGAGGATGGCACGCTAGCTAAATTAATTAATCATTTGCTGTTTCCCTACCATTTCCCCTTACATGCTTGTTTCCCTGTTTATGTAATCGGCTATGATGGCATCCTATATATCTGCTCTAGAGGACGTCTAATGTCACATAATCAGGACTCCTATCTGTGCAAAAGAACTTTCTGTTCCTCTCCTCCTCGCTGAAGCATCTATGCTTCCAAAATGCTTTGCAGCAGATGGGGGGGGGCATGGGATATTGTAGGAGGGGAGAAGAGCTGTCTGAGCAAACAGTGAACCCTGTTGAATGTTGCTCTATGATGCAATCTTGTATTCATTCTGCTAGTATAACATAGGTCACAACGTTGCCCTTCTGCAGTCAGCGTGACTCAATGATAGGATAGGACGAGACTCTTCATTAACAGCAGAACTGGGAGTCTAGTGACTTTGACAACCTTTAACATTTGCATCTTTGAGGGAAATGAACTGAAATGCAAGTTCTCACATTTTGTTACACTCATCTCTAGTGCTCTAATCAACCTCCCCTTTTGGAAACAGCACGTATTATTATCCTTATATGTTCTCCAGAGCTTTTGTTCCCGAGATTGACAGTTTTACTGAGATAGCACCTAAGTCCTTGATACTTGTATTTCACATTTCTCTGTACATCAGTATTATTTATAGTTTATCTTATTGGATAGTTTGGCCTCTTTCTGCAAGGACATTGCTGAACACTAGTCAGCAACAAAGGATCACCTGACTGTTAAAAGAGAAGCAGCCTTGGTGCTAGCTGGATCCCATACCTGAAGGCAGTGAAATCTACTCCAGCAAATGTGGTTTGAGGAGCAGAGAGTTTCATGTTCCTTCAGCTCTGTACTTAATTGTCGTCTCAGAAACAATATCTTACTGTGATTACCATTGCACTGCGTGCCAAGGAGGGGGCTTATCGATATTAAATGAGAGACAAGCAGACAATGTGACTGTGTGGCCATTATTGCACGCAGACATCGTTAGTGGATGATTTATTAAGAGTGCTACTCAAGGGAGGAGTAGAAGGGTGACTAAAAACCACCAAATGTTTTCTGTGCACAGGAAGATTGGATGACATAAAGCAGTGATTTGCAAGATGATAAAGACCTGAAAATGTGGTTTTGGAATATCCTTTATTCCAATAATATTTTTGCTACTAAATAAATCATGGGTTTCGAGAGAGAGCTGTCCTCTGTCTATTCCATGTCTCCGTCATCCACCTTCCCTGCTTCCTCTATATATTTTTGCATAGAAAAAGGTCTTCATGATTTCCCTGAACTCCTGGCAGTGATAACAAACTCTGACCACCAGCCTTCCTCAACCTTTCCAGACATTATGGTCTGGGTGGTGTTAGAATGAAACACACTGCTCGGACAGGTCCAATAATTTCCGAGTCTGGTTCTTGTTAATAGTATGTAAAATAAATATGAGAATATTGAAATGCATCAAACTGTATTTTGCTTCTGTTTTTCTTGGCAGAAGGACTTGTGTGCTAAACAAGAAAAGGATTTAAAAGTGGGGCTATAATGTTGTTGTTGTTTAGTTATTTAGTCGTGTCCAACTCTTCATGACCCCATGGATCAGAGCACGCCAGGCACTCCTGTCTTCCACTGCCTCCTGTAGTTTGGTCAAACTCATGCTGGTAGCTTCGAGAACACTGTCCAACCATCTGGTCCTCTGTCGTCCCCTTCTCCTTGTGCCTTCCGTCTTTCCCAACATGAGGGTCTTTTCCAGGGAGTCTTATCTTCTCATGAGGTGGCCAAAGTATTGGAACCTCAGCTTCAGGATCTGTCCTTCCAGTGAGCACTCAGGGCTGATTTCCTTCAGAATGGATAGGTTTGATCTTCTCCTCCAGCACCATAATTCAAAAGCATCAATTCTTTGGCGATCAGCATTCTTTGTGGTCCAGCTCTCACTTCCATACATCACTACTGGGAAAACCATAGCTTTAACTATACGGGCCTTTGTTGGCAAGGTGATGTCTCTGCTATAATATCTTCTAATAAAATAAATAAATAAACACGGACTGTATTTATATAGTCTGCGGCACTAAATGTTACTATTCAGTGAATAAATCAGAATTGGATTATTATTATTTTTAAATACATTGCAGAAACATTTCAGTCAGATTTCAGGACTTTTCAAACGTAATTACTTTGCAGGCCAAGGCCAGTGTTTTTGCATTAACTTGATCGTACGTATATCACTGAAGATTGCAAGGATATGCAACGCCACAGTCTGTTTAGCTGAAGCCAGCTAATTAGGTGGAAGTCAGCATTAATTTTTAATAAATAATACTGCAAGGATGGTTAGCAATATCAGGCAGTTCGCTAAGAAACGGGAGGGGCGGAGAGAAGAGGGGAAATCTTCTTCCATCAGCAACACCGAATGCTGTTTACGCAGAGCTCCACCAGGGGGAGGCCCACTGAAAGGAATCTGTTTTCCTTGTCCGATCTGAACAAACTTCTGCAAACTTCCCCATCTTCTCAGATTGCTTTCAGGGGTACGTATTTCCGTTGCTCTGACGCTTGGCCTGAGATCGGGCTCGAAGAGGGGGGGAAAGCGCCTCCTCCTCCTCCCCACACCCCGGATCACGATGACCGAGGGAACACGATGCAGTGGCGCAGCACTGTAGTTACTGCACGAAGTTGGAATTTTACAGCTTGGCATCTGCCGGACTTCCTCCGGATCGGATTCCCGAAACCTCCTGCGGGAGCTGAAGGCGTTTGAGAGCGGGACCCAGCAGAGAGCAGTAGCTGGCTGGCGCTGCGTCTTCCTAGACGAGAGACGTTTCTGGTGCTGCCGGAACCCCATTGCGCAGCAGCAGCAGCAGCAGCAGCAGACTTTTCTCCAGGAGCCGCTTAGCTGATTCACACCGCTCACAGCCTCCTTCGATTAGCAGCAGCAGCAGCAGCATCCCTTGGGGGATAATAGCACCACCGGCCATCGGAGGAGGAGGAGGAGAGGGCGGGGACTGGGCGGCTGCCCTGCTGCTGCTGGCGAGTGTTACCAACAGGCCAGCTGCAGCAGCAGGCGCCAGGCTCTCTCAACAATGCAGCGCAGGCAGCCCTCGGATCTCGGAGCAGCAGCCGGGGAAGGCGCCCGCTGCTTCTGATCCTCACGACGGAGTGCGATCCAACTCGAACCTCGTCCTCGCAGCGAAACGAGAGGAGCTGGAAGTTGGCAGAGGATCCGGAGAAGGGGCGCGCGCGCGCACGGGTGGGTGGGTGCCTCCCTCGGTTTCTCCCCAAGGCTGATCTTGCTCTCCTCCCCTTGCTGTCACTCGGGATATTTGGGCAAGAGGCGAGCCCGCGAGAAGGAGTGATGGAGGCCGCCGCCGCCGGGGACATCGGGTTGCGATGATGGGAGAGCGACGGAGGCCGAGCTCGGCTGCAAGGGAGACGGCGAGAAGGGGCAGCGGGACGGGGGCAGCGCACCAAGCCGCGTAGGAGGAGAAGAGCCCGGGAGGAGCGCCTGTGCGCGCCAGCCCTTCGCCCTGAGGAGCAGCGCCCAGAAAGCGCCTCTTCCTCCGACCCAGCCTGGAAGGGCGAGAGGCGGGAGCCTTGAAGGGAACAGGTGCCGCCAGCCGCGCCGCCCCGAGAAGGGAACCCCCGTCGCCTGTAAATTGGGGGCGGCAGAGGACGACGGCGAGGGAGCAGCGCGTGGCTGCCTGGAATTCTTCTTCTTCTTACCACCCGCCTGCTTGGAGAGGGGTCAGAAAATAGGTCTCCCAGTCCCCGCCCTCTGGTCCTTCTGACAGCCCCCCCCCCCCGCGGCGGGCTGGGCTTTGGGCTTGCCGCCGGCCCGCTTCTTCTTGCTCCTCCTCAGCTGCCATGTGTTGTGGCTGCCGCCTGTCGCGCGGCCTCCGCTGCTGGTCTCCATGCTCCTAGGGGCGTCCTGGCTGTGCTCCTCCAAGGCCGCCGCCGCCGAGAAGCGGGCTGCCGAGGAGAGGCGGAGGCGGCGCGCTGCGGGAGGAGGAGGTGGCGGCGGGGGTGGTGGCGGCGGCAGTAACGGCGAGGGGCCCCCAGCCGCCGCCGCCGCCGCCTGCGGAGGGGCCATGGACGAGTCTTCGCTGCTGGACTTGCTGGAGTGCTCCGTGTGCCTGGAGCGCCTGGACACGACGGCCAAGGTGCTCCCGTGCCAGCACACTTTCTGCCGCCGCTGCCTCGAGAGCATCGTCAGCTCCCGCCACGAGCTGCGCTGCCCCGAGTGCCGCATCCTGGTGGGCTGCGGGGTCGACGAGCTGCCCGCCAATATCCTGCTCGTCCGCTTGCTCGACGGCATTCGGCAGAGACCCCGCGCCGCCGCCGCCGCCGGCAACGGAGCCCCGGGGAGCCCCACAGCCCCGGGCAACGCGGCTGCTCCATGTGCGGGCAACCCCGCCGCAGCAGCAGCGGGAGGAGGAAACAACCCTGCTCCCGCCACTAACCCCGCCTGTCACCCCGTGGCGGCGGCGGCTACAGCGGCCTCCCCAGGCTCCCCTAGCAGCGCCGCCGCTGCAGCCGCCGCCTCAGCCGCCGCCAGCCTGAGGGAACTGGCCGCCGCTAGCCGGAGCGCCCTGCTGAAGGTAAGCCTTTCCTTTGCCTCTTCCCGCCTTTTTTGGTCCTTCGGTCTCCGCCCCGCGCCAGCCAACAAGCTGCCTGTTCACACGTGGCTCAGTTGTGCTTATACAGTATATACACAGCCAGGGGTGCCAACTTGAAAATATATATATATTTGGGAGGCCGTAAGCCCTGCCCTGCATAATTGTTCACAAGACACACAACCACTTGAATGGCAATGACTTTCAACTGGGGGGGGGGGGCTCAAATATTTTATGGGGAGCAGAAAGGGACCTCGGCCCCTAGCAGTTGGCTGCTATGGCTTTTATATATACAGCTCCTTGTTTCCACACCTTTCGTCCAGCATGTTGATGTGTCCTTAATAGAAACAACATCATAACAATGGCACTGCTACCAACCATACATGTTGGGCTGCCCCCTTTGGCTTAGCTGGAAAGCAGGTCTAGTATGTTGGTTAGCTAGCACTCCTGTTGAACTTTGAACATCTGGGGATGAATGACTTTTAAGAGGTGTCGGGGGTGCCAACTTGACTAAAATATTGGGGGGGCAGGGCAGGTAAGCACCGCCCCGCATAATTGATCACATGATGTGGCACATGCGCACCCTTGAACTTTGGGGTGGGTGGCCCCCCTCAGATATTTTACTGGAGGGCCGAAGGGACCTGGGTCCCTAGAAGTTGGCTCCTCTGAGTTTTTGTCAGCACAGGGGGCAAGGGCATCTGTGGCGCCCAGGTTGTAGGGGAAATACGATGTCCCGAAATTCCTTACCACTAGGCAAAAGGGCAAGCGGATGCACTGGGAGACTTTGGCTCTGGTCACTTTTAAGAGTTGCCGTTGCCACTTGAAGAAGCTCTGTAAACTCTCCTCTTGGTCCTAATAAAGATACCGTTTGGCTGCCTTGGTGAATTTTGCGTGCGGTTGTTTCTTTTTAAGCAGGACCTACATTTCTTACGATACGGAGCTGCAGAGCCAAGACAAGCTGCACTTGACAAAATTCTTTTCTGCGCAATTATGATATATATAGCAGCCTTGCCCTATCTTATATCTGTGCCACTTCATCCGACTTGCCCATTGCTTAGTTATGGATGCTTTGTTCAAATCGTGCATTACCGTAGTTACCAATGGCCTTTTTCAAATAACAGGGCATGCCTGCACGCTGCTCTGCCAGTGATATAGCAAAATAGAATTGTTATCAGAATTTGCATCACATACTCTTTCAGAATTTACTGTCTTTCTCCCATATTCCTTTTTCTTTTGCTCTAGTGCGTATGCAGTTCTGTGGACTAGCCCTGAGGGAACGTTATGCCTCTGTTGCAATATGCTATACTGAGATACTCCTCAGGTTTCAGTAAGCTGGGTGGCCAAAGCCTACATTAATTTGTATTTGTGTAGGAGTGGGATGCTGCAAGAATGTGGCACCGTTTCCAGTGTGTTAACTTTCAGAGGAGGCAAGCGCTCTCCTTAAGAGTGATTAAAGACAGGTGTTTGTCTTGTGCATCGCTTGTCCCTCAAAATGAGGGTGGCCGAAACAAGTTACTCTCCTGCTCTTTTAAAATAAAAATCCGTGTGCCGAAATGCAGGCTGTTGAGTGATGGCGTTGTACTTTGTTAATTGATGGACAAATCTGTACCTCTGCTGTAGAGAGCATGTTCTTTGCATCTAGAAGCTTCAGTCCCTGACACCCCTGCTTGAAAGGTTCACTTAGCAGGGTCTGCAGGCGATGCACAAAAAGACAGCAAGTACACACAGGGGAAGCCTTTTTTCTGTCCGAGACCCTGGAGACCTCTGCCAGTCAGAGTAGACAGTACTGGATGGGATAGACAAATAGTCCAGTCTGCAGCTTCCTATGTTGCTGTGAAGCAACAATACAACTGCGACATCACGTGCCAGACGTCTCACAGGTCGACTTAATTTCCTTCCTTCACTGAGTAGGGTTCTGTGTTAACTCGCACAAACTGACATAACCATACCACATTGTGTGGGACTGCCCTGGCTGTAGAATGCAGCGACAATCACTGCAAATTGAAAGATGAAGGGTATTGGGCATACATGGGTGGATGAAAAGAGCTGCTACTGAAGGAATACTTGGACATACTGGCTAAAAGTGTACATTTGGAAGAAGTTTGTTTACTATCCTGTGTGTGTATATATTCATATGAACTGTTTTTTTATCGTCCACATTGTTAAAATAATATTGTAAAGAGCTTTTTAAAATAATAATGAAAGTTTTGCAGAAAGCTCTTTGTGATGCTGTGCATACATCGTTGCCTAACCAACCCATGCTTTGTTTGATGGAACATCTTGCCTGGCTTTTAAAGTCACAGCTTGGCTGCCATGATTGATGGTTGCATTTTAATTCCCTTGCTTGGGATAATGAGTGCATGAACACAAAAGGTTCCATGGAACTGTTTGTTTAGCCTTTGGAATGACCTCACAGCTTTATCTTTGAAATTGATGCAGTTCTCAATCCTTACAAGGTTCATTACACTGAAAGAAATCTGAACTAATCTGGTGTGTGTTTTTAAAGCAGAAATCAGCAGGCGATAGTAATCTTCCTTACAGCTGCTTTAATACAGCTGGTTAGCAACCTTTTCTGAAAACTAGATGGAGCATCTCTGTATGTATTAAGCAACACAAAAATACAAAGATAACTTGACAGCAGAAGGCAATTATTTGCCAATTCATAGCCTTTATCTTGGCCAGTATTTCAAAATAGTCCCCCCCCCAACCACTCTTTATAAAAATTTGCAAAAAATAAATAATGATTGCTCTTCTTAAAGATGGAATTAAGAAAGCTCATTCACTTATTTGACAGAAAAATGAATAGGAGTTGTAGGTGTTGCACTATGACACTTAATTGAAGTCCAAGGTCAAATGGTTTTGACCCTTTATCTTCTTTGCCATTTGTTGACCTTTGAATTCCTACCATTCCCACCTGTCTTTCGGAGTATTTGGGTGTAGAAACAGTTAAAAAGGGGAGAAGAAGGCAGTTAGCCACTGGAGGGTTTTATATCACATCCAATCAGCATTTGTTATGGATGTTTAAGTTGGGAGTCTCAGAGCAGGAAGCTGTACTAAATGCCCTTCATGGTGCCCTGTAGTTTCATGCGTCTATGAAAAGCAAGGAAATGACTCCTAACTACAAGACAAACTTTCTAAACTAGCACAGTACATTACTGTGAATATTGGGAATATTTGCCAGCCATCTGCTGTACAGATGACAGCTATAGGGAAGGGGTTTTTTTGTGTGGTTTTTGCATTTTGCTTCTTTCAGATTGGGGGTTGGGCTCATCCACTTCTGTCATTCTTTCTTTGTTTGTCTTAGAGCTTACAGTGAGCAAAATCATATATTTATCATTGATGTAGTTAAGAAAATCCAGATTCTTATCACTGAGATTTGCAGTTGATGTATAAAAATGGTTTTGTGTTTCTTAACGATTTGTTGATTTGCTTGGGCTACTAATATTGCAGGGTTTTTTTAAAAAAAATCAAAACATTCAAACATATTTTTTTTAATCTTTTACTTTGTACTTGCTGAAGCAATAACTTTCCATACTTAGCCAAGACCACAATAACAGGCCTTCCTTTCTACCTGATAATGTGTGTATTAGCTTCAAAGTTTTCTAAGTACCTTGAAATGTTTGATGGACTTGTTTAGCATTCATCTGATGAAATACGTTAAAAGAAGCAGAAGCAGCCCTGGACTTTTATTTGCACTTTTATTATTTATTTTCATTAAAGGGATCACTGGGAAATGGAGACGTGTGCTTGGAAGACGTGTAACACATTAAGTTGTTAGATCTGCAAGAAGAGCATTCTTCCATTGCTAACTTTCTGTCCATTGAGTCTTGCACCCCTCCTCCCTGCCATATTGCTCTACTTTATTGATATTTCTTTGATCTTTGTGTGGGAGATGAAAGACTTCCTTCATCATATACCTGCAGTGCCGTGCAAAGGTGCGTGCTGCTATTCCTATGTGTTGTTTTAGCAATTCTTTGAATCCCAGCATTTATTCTTATTTCAACTTTCATCTCACTTCAGCCATGAACTCACAAAATGGCCTTAGGCAAGTCAATATCTCTCAGGCTCAGTTTCCCATCTGCAGTATGGGGCTGACCTACCTGCAAGGCTTTTACATAGATCATTGAGAGGACAAGTATGAACAGGTCTGTTTCTCCTCCCAAAACAATATGGCGACCCACAAAACAAAATGCGGCCTGGCAAATATGCCGTATGACCTGCCACCTGTTTAATAGCCTCTCTCCTTTTTTTTTGTAATCACAAGAACAGAAAAGTGATCAAAACCATGCATATCACAAGAATAGAAACGTGATCAAAATGTATATGTAAGTGACGAGAGGTTTCAACTTAGTTGGCCACAAATTCAAGAGGATGTGATAGTAAGCCTACATATTCTACTTCTTTTGGTACCAGGGTGCTGATATTTAGGAATACCAGCTTACTACATGTTCTTAAGACGGGGGCTCTACATGCTTGTGGGCAGATTGAAATAGTGTTCATTAATATCAGATTCAAGTGCGGTCCCACAGGGCAAACTTTTCATTTCTCCTCTTTATCGTGATTTAACAGGTAATTTCTAGAGTTGCTCTGGCTGTTGTCTGACTTTCCAACAGATCACACTAGACAAGATGTTTTGAGTTGTAATGGAAGAGTTCCGAGAGTGTGCAGGTGAGATGAATCTAAGAGGCTCTGGTAAATCTTGTGAGACTTATCCCACAATCCATTTAGTCCATTGATCAGGACTGTCAATTTCAGTCAGAATAGAGAAACCTATGTGATGATTTTGTGTGCTGTTTAGAACAAGGCACAAGAGGAGTAGAAGGCTGCTTATAGGGGGAGTCTCTCTATTTAGTCATTTGTTTGTTTGCTTGTTTTAAAAAGTTCATTTTAACATTATCTGGTACATGTTATCCAGGGATTGCTGGCAGACTATATGAGTCTTCAGCTCTCAACCAGGTTGCGGCTGATTTGTTTTTGGGTGAGAC